CCCACCTCCCACCGTGGAGAACAGACTCCAGGACCAGGGTCCCTGGATGCACCACGCCTCAGGCATTTATCGAGTGCTGGCTGTTTGCCCAGCTCTCCCCTTGGGCACCATGGAGGGGCTGGGAAGATGGGCACAGCCCTAGGAGCCAGGTGTGGCTGGCTGCAGGTCCGCTCCAGCCCGCCCTGTGCTGTCCTGGGGGTGGGCGTTTTACTCCTGTTGCCTCTTGCTCCCCAGAGGGCTGTGCAGACAGTGGGGGTCCCAGCAGCCCTGGTCTATATCCTGAGGGGCCGGTTCTCCCGGTGAGCTGAGGGGCCCAGTGGGCCCTGAGCCAGGTAGGAGGGTGGTCCAGGCGGGGAGGGTGGTCCAGGCGGGGAGGGTGGCAACCCCATCCCCAATGCCTTCTGCGTTTTCTGGTCTTCACCCAGATCCCTTCCCTGGCCTGTTGCCCTTCTTGCCAGCAAATGGTGGTGAGCCCTGGGGGGTACTGCCCTGGCCGCTGGGGGCAGCAGGTGCCAAGATCCTGGGGCAGGGATGACTGTGACCCACTGGGGCCTGGGGAGGGTGGGGAGCCCCAGATGAGGGTGGGCTCGGTCCGATGCGGGGAGGAGTTTGAGTTGGCTCTGAATTTGTGGGTATTGGAGCACTTAACGCAAGGAAACCATAGGGGATGACTTTTTGTAGTCAAACGTACATTAAAAATTCAGCACTTTAACCATTTTTGAGCGTACATTTAGTGGCACTAAGCACATTCGTGGTGTTGTACAACCTCCAGTACCATCCATCGCTAGAGCATTTTAATCTTCCAAACAGGGAGAGTCCATTAAACCCTGACCCCCTCCGCTCCCCCAGCCAACGTCTTACAAACCCAGCTGGGGTTAGGGACCAGCCCCGAGCCTCTTCTATGGGGCGTCACTCCCATGCGTGAGGGCCCCGCTCTCACGACGTGAGCTCCACCCGAAGACCCACCCTTTATATCTTCACCGTCCGGGTTGGGATTTTAACATATGGATTTTGGGGGAACGCAATTCAGGCTATAGCAGGCTGGAATAGTTTTTTTTTGGTGGGACTTTTAGAGTTTTTTTAGGTATATGATCACGTCTTCTGTGACGAGAGAGAGTTTTATTTCCTTTTTGTTGTTGTTAATCCTTACCTGGGGATATTTTTTTCCCCCATTGCTTTTCAGAGAGACTGGAAGGGAGGGAGAGAGAGAGAGAAGCATCGATATGAGAGAGACACATCGATTGGTTGCCTCCTGCCCACTCCCCAACCAGGGTCTGGGATCAAATCTGCAACCCAGATATGTGCCCTTGACCAGGATTTGAACCCGCGACCCTTCAGCGTGCAGGCCGGCGCTCTAACCCCCGAGCATCGCCAGCCGGGGCTAGTTTTACGGCTTCATTTCCAGCCTGGATGTCTCTCATTTCTCTTTCCTGCCTGATTGCTCCGGCTAGAACTTCCAGGGCTATGTTGACGAGAAGCGGCGAGAGTGGGCCGCCCCGCCCCGTTCCCGACCCAGGAGGGAAAGNAGAGAGTGGGCCGCCCCACCCCGTTCCCGATCCGGGAGGGAAAGCTTTCCTCCTTCGCCCCTGATGTGGGTTTTCTTGTATGGCTTTCATTATGTTGAGGTGGTTTCTTCTATTCCTGCTCTGTTAAATGGTTTGTCCGATTTTTAATCGTGAAAGGGTGTTGAATTTGGGCAAATCATTTTTTGCATCAATTAAGACAATCATGTGGGGTTCCCCACCCCCCT